ATTGCCAGTATCCGTTGGTGTAGGCCTTTAGACAAGCATGCTGGTGCCCGGCAGACAACCTAAAATGCTTCCTTGGCATCGACTCGGTGATTCGAATCGACTAAATGTGCAAGAATAGAACTCGAAATCGACCGGGCCTCACCTTTGTCTAGCCAGGCTGGCATATGCTCAAGCACCCTCTTCACCAGGCGTCTCGTTGTGCAGCCGATGTATCCTGCTTCAAAGGAGCAAGTTAATGAATAAATGCACACTGATGTGGCCTCGAACGGTAGTGTGTCTTTACCTCCCAAACGTAGGAGGTAGAATTGTGAAGCAAACGCGTAAATTCGCCGCGGGAATGCCCTTCTGATAGCTGTAGTTAAGCGCCGTCTGACTAGTTCGCTCTCTGCGTCTCCTATAAAAGCTTATCTTATGAATACCTCTTTCTTTTCCGTAGTCTCAACAGTGGACTATGCGCAGCGTTCCCCAATACTTCGGAGAATAAATCTATCTGGGTATCCATCCTCCGAAGGGTGTTCCGCGGCTGTTTGAGTTCATCTTCAATAGCTTCAGGTGAGCAGATGCATCTCACTCTAGCAACGGCAGAGGCAGTAGCTATACGGTTAGCGAATCCGGTGTTATGCTGTCAGAAAACCCTGACACAAGCGCTCTCTCTGCCGTGGCCAACGTCAACCCCAAGTGATGACGCCATGCCGCCTCAAATCCTTAGTTACAGTGATGGGTACCCCGTGTATTCAATCCAAGAACGTCATTCAATAACTCTCTTAACCCCCTCTCCTATCTCTGAGGACCAACACCCGCCGACCTTGTCATGTGGGCGGCGTGGGGTGATGAGTGGTAGCGCCTTAATAGCCCTTGATGCATCTATAAACACTGTTGATTTTGTACATTTTCATTCCTTCCTGTAATTGTATTGGCCTGACGAAGGAGTACCGAACACACGTGTTCGCCAACTTGACTTTTCAAGTGTAACATGGGAATATTTGCGGAACATATGAAGTCACCGGTTACTAGCTGATCAGCAAAAATGCTCAACAGGCTCTATACTTTTTTCAGCTCCGCATATAAGAGATTTGTGGCCATCAGATTGACAAAACATGGACTTCATGCCCAGGCAGAACTCACCGAAATCGACCGTCCATGACAGGAAAGACGGTGGGATTTATGTGACTCTGTGGATGCTGATGTGGCGCCGACGGCGGCGGCGGTGGTGGCGGTGGTGTTGGGGGAATCGGTTGCTGCTGCTGCTGATGTTGTGAATGTTGAGAATGCAAGGAAGGATGAGAGGCCAGTATGCCCGAGGAACCCATGACAAGGCGGGGGTCCCCTCCGTTGGCTCGTACAGAGTTTGCAGCAGCTGCAGCCGCTGCGGCCGCGGTGGCGGCAGCGGCGGCGGCTATCAGTTGCCGATTGGCGGAGGAACTTCGTGGAGATTCAATGAGGAAGCTGCCGTGGTGTAGGAAGGTGGGAAGAACGGTTGGCGGACAGGGCAGTCCGTTGTAGGCGCCTTGTAGGGCTAACGGATGGCTAGGAACAGCTAGTCGTGACTGGAATGCATTCTGAGGAAAACCGTTGGCCTTTGAAAGTTGAAAAAAGTTTTTTATTTGCACCAGTGGAAGGGACATCATTGCGGGGATTTTTAAAAAGTATGCCTTATAGCGTTCACGTCGAATAAATCATATTTTAAGCTCCAAACCTAAAGGTGAAAATCCGTGCACACCTTTCTTTTTATCTGGCCGTTAAAACGATTCTCAGAGTCATCTTCTAAGCCATGGTAATTAAAAACGAAGTTCTACCGAAACGGGAAAGAAAACCGTTGAGTTTAGGACACTGACCCAGTTGTTCTAGAACAGCTAATAAGTTTGAAATGGTGGTTGCGGTGAGACTCGAGTTATTCATCTTTTTTGCCCACCGCAAAAGTGCAAAGCAGAAACCATTTAAGCCGATATCATCGACGAATGCATAAAAGTGAATTGTTATCTCACGCGTGTACTTCAGGTTCCATTATACAGGTAATAAAGTCAAATTAATAGGGCTTTACCTATTTATCAGATCTCCCTGACTCCAGTGCATTATGCATGACAGCGTTCATTTTGATTAAGGGTAGAGTTTAAATCACTTCACTGACATTTGCATAAAGATGGCAAGCTGCTACAAGCACCAACAAAGTGCCGTCTCTCGTAGTTCATACGTGATATCAAAACCACCAAAAATGTTTGCGCGAATAAAATCACTGCCGTTTTCTGCTAAGTGAAACAATTTTTCCTTTCACCCTGAACTACGAGACTTGTTTTCTTAACTTCGAAGCACGACACTTTATTGTCCTAAATATGCGGACACTGCTACATCATTCGGGGCGTCGCCAACAACGAAGCATATCGTGTGCACTACAGCAAAGCAGACGCGGAATGGCAAGGTGCGCGCGACTTGGGATGGTAGCAGACTTGCGCAGCATGTATCGCACTCCCGCTTCCCTTAGCTCGGCGGCAAGGCAGAGTCAGGAAGACCAGAAGTAGGCAGTTGACAGGGCTACACAGCTCGTCTAAGCGCTTCACGCACGACCTTGTGCGCGTGCTTGAGCAGGGGGTCTTTGCGAAATCAAAGCCGGTACTGCGGGTCCCAACTGAGTGGAACCCGCAGAGGTGTTTCATTTTCTCACTAACGCTTTGAAAGTTGCTATTCAAAGGGTTGCAAGATTTCTCCCGGCTATCCTTCATGTTCACCATAGTACGCATTCAGTGCAGTGAAAAATTGCCAGGAAGTTAAATATTTTGTATGCATCCTGCATTTTCAACGCGCGTGAATGACTGAAGAGACTTTAAATTTGAGCCTAAGTGCAGAACGGCCGGTATGCAATTCCGTTTGGTTGAACTTAAGACTTGGCAATCTTGTGTTCCGATAAAGTAATATGAATCTTTTCCTCTTGACAAGCGCTGTCCATGCTTCAATCTCAGATTGCGGCATAAAGTTGTGTTCAGCCATATATAGCCGGTAAGCACTGAAAATTCAAACTATGCAGTTCTCTACGACCACCCGTGTAGCATCTAACGATGAATTTGCTGAGCATATTTGCGAAAGTGACATTCTGTTCCAAGCCGATTGGTCTTACAGACTAATGGGATTATTACGTTGAATAATTAAATGATACTCTCAGTATGTCCCTACACGCACGCTAAATGCTGTATTTATCGAGCTTCAGAAGTAGACATATTACATCATAGTCATTTTCGACAATGGCATCTACTGGGAGATTTGAGTACCATAAGATAGTCATTAGAAATAACGCCGGCTTTGAGACCATACATCGGAAGTTTCTTATTTCGCCAGAGGATATATCCACCACATTGCCACGCGGAGAGTAAAGACATTGCGTGATAATTGGACAAGAAATTGTGGGAACTATCTAGAAAAACTAAATCCACTATCATATGTTTTCAGCAGCTCTGCTTGATATTTATTGCCGAAAAATTAATTGGTTTCTCATATCTTTTGATACTCATTCATTTACTGGTTGTGCGGCTTGTCAATGGAGTCGCACTGAGTTGGTTAGCTAAACATTTAGCATGCCCCACAAGCGCGTGTACTCGGTCTGCTGAGATGTACGTAAATCCCCGAAGAGTGCCTAATAAAAGTAAGGAATCCGCTTTCACGCTAAATTTGCTTCCGGTGAGGGTTCCCATTGGACGTGCATAGGCGTTTCATACCTTGAAACAGCACAATGCAATTTACTAATATCAATGATCAAGACATCCTGTTGCAGTTTTTAGATAAATTGAAAAGTCAAGTTGGCGAACGCACGATTTCGGTAATTCTTCCTCAGGCCAATACAATTACATGAATGAATGAAAATGTACAAAATCAACAGTGTTTATAGATGCCTCAAGGGCTATTAAGTCACTAACACTCATCATCCCCACGCCGCCCG